CCACGGTATTCTCGCTTAGGCGAGCAAGATTTGACGATGAATTAAATTAACTTTCAATGAACTAATAGTTTGTTAAAATAATTCCTTTTATCTTAAATATATATTTTATGACTGTAAATTTAATTGAGCGATACAAGTATCTATACAATATCATACATCTATTAAATTTTATAAAGTTCTCTTAAACATGACTTTATGCTAACTTGGCTTATTAGAGATACAATCGCTCCTAGCTGCATTTAAATTATATCCAGGATAGGTCTTGTTCATTATTGTTGAAATTTAAATAATACACCATATAATCTGTAATTCGATCGATATTGATAAATTATTTGAATTTTGGAATAATTAGGTAGTAATTAATATGCCTTGATTTGTATCAGAGCTCAAACAACGTTTCTCGGCTATTACAATTAATTTCATAGAATATTTATATTTGCGCTCTAACCAGATTCATAATCAAACTCTGAACATAGAGATAATATGATATTATTTCTCTCTATCAATGCAATCTCACATACAAAAGTGTAGCAGAAAAGCATAGAACTTTGTTAAACAATTAGATTAATTAATACAAATTGAATCGAAGTTTCTACGTTTACGTAAAATATTAATATAATAATTAATATATTCTTGCGGTGAGTTCATTAATTGTGTTATTATTGACGACTATTGAAATTAGAGAATCGCATCTGTTAAAAAATAATAGAAGTAACTAAAATTGTTATGCGAAGATTATGGAACTAAAGCATGATTGATAAATATGGGTTAATAAACGCTATTATTATCAATATAGCGAGACAATTTTCGTATTTTAATATCGTAGGATATCGAATGATCATTTTCATATTGAAAATGAAAGGGTTTCGAAAATATGCCCGAACAGGATTATACGACTCGTTCTACATTTATCGTTCGTAATAGTACGAATCCTCGTTTTTGGCAAAAAGGACCAATTGTTCTATCATTACATATGCGACTATAGTAATAACTGCTTGAACATTTTGGCAGAGATAGTTTTCATTGAAATATTGAATCGCCGTGAACTGGATATAATTTGGCTATGATTGGATGTATTATTATGTATGATTACTATCAACTGCTTTTAATTGGAAAATACACTTTAATAATGGCATATGAAAAAGATTTCTATTTCATTATTTTATCATTTAATATTGCCACTAATGTACAATGTCTGTTGCAAATTTTTATTAATCAGTAGCCATTTTATTTCTGCACGCCATCATAAAGCACTAAAGATAGAATGAATGCTGAATTTTATAATCAATTTAAATATATAATTTTTGATTGTTGTTCTTCCTCTCTTATATTTTTTTAAATAACTGAAACAAAAATGTATTATAATGAAATGTAAAGAAAAACGAAAATTTAAAATGTATATAAAGGAATATATTTTCCTGCTTGAATGTATTTCCTGCTCGAGGTAATCATATATTTTATATATATATTACTACATTTGTATCATTTTGAATATTAATGATTGGCTGGTCATACGCAATTGAACGATATTTATATACAAACATATCTCGTAATGTTCTAAATGAATGGGAAAAGTTTATATTCAGCAAATAACTACGGTACGTTTGCTAACAATTATCGTTATAATTACATGAGATAGTTCTGTTTGAAATGTAAAATTTTCATTACTATAATGGAGATCACTTACACAAAAAAAAACGATTGAAAAGCAACAAAATGAATTAATAATAAACATAATAGCAATTTAAAATAATTTATCTTTTTTTATCTTAGTAAATGTATTCTTTACTCATATTGGGTTGTCCGGAAAGTTCGTGCCGACTAACCTATATATTGTACATTCTTTACTTGTGAACATCTTTCGTAGTATTTTACTTTTCGTTCTAATTTTATTATTCTATTCTGTCTTTTAAGCAATTTACAATTTTATTAGCGTATGCTTAGTATATTTATTATCCATCTTTTGTGTTGTTTATCATATTATGATATTGAATAAATATGAACTTTAATTACTGACTAAATTTAGAAATGACATAAACATAATTTTATTATTGAAAATCTTTGATATGCAATGTCATAATCTTAAAGGATGAATAACAGATGATTCATAATTTTATCGTAGTTAAATAAAATCGCATAAACGCTTGAAACGTCGAGTGCCGAACAGCAGTCAGAAAATTATCAGGCGAAAAGCGAATGTCGACGAATACGGATGTTCATTAATAACTACTACGCTTCATTATGCGAACCGCAATTTGCTTATTGGACGTTTAACAGCGGTCGCATCGTGGTATCCTGTATAGCCCTAGAAGAGGATATTGAAGAGACGCTCATGAGGTACTTGTCCGTTGTCCATTTTCTGCTAACAAAAATATCGGATTTCCCATTAAATGGCTCTAGTTGTAATGATTTCATCTTTATTGAATTCTCATAGCAAAAACGAATTCGCTTTTAAAATAATGAGCAAACATCGAAAATGATCGGACTAAATTGGTGCAATTTTTTGGATTTAAATTTCTTAATTATTAATTATAATATAAACATACATATATATTAAAAAGAAATTATATTAAAATATACATCTTATGTATTGAATACAGAAATATTAAATTTTTTTTATTAATTAATCATTTGTTATATATACATATATATTTTTTACTTGATATTGCTGACTTTGAAATTTTAAATTATCAGTTATTATAAATACAATTTTTTATTTCTTTTTTATTAAAATTCAAATTTAATACAGCAATTCTCTATTTGTTTAAATTATTAGGATATTAGTACCATTTATCGTTTTATCGAATTGTACATCGTTAACTCGTGTCAAATAACTCTAGCATTATTTCAATTGTGATGTCCGATCGGTTTACCTCTCAGCGATAAGGGTATTGAGTTTCCTATTAAACAGCTCTTTCGATAATGGTTCGGTCAATCGATTGATTGCGCGTGTTTTGTAAAACCAAAAACCTCTCACAAACCATTACATACAATTGAAAATCTTAAATATTAGATTTAGAACCTTGACAAAAATATCGTTTTTAAATATAAACGAATGTATAGTATGTGATGTTATGAAAATGATTCTATGAGATTGAATATAAACAATTATATTCCAAAAATTCTGATGAATATACAAATATCATATCGGATAAATAACGAAGATTTACTAATTTGTGATAATTATATTATATACTTCACAGTTCACACCAATCTAAATAAATCTCTTTTACGTTTTAGCGATCAACAAAATTATGATATGATATGTAGCTCGTATATTAATGGAATTATTTTGTCGATATTTGTTTATGTATTACTACAAAAATATCGGAGTTTTCATTTAGATTATCTTATAGCTGAGCTGTTGAGCATAAACGATAGTGCACGTTCCTATCAATCACAGCATTACGAAATACAAACATAACGCTGATGTTCAGTAATACTGATCGGTTCGCTACATTTAGCCATATGGAATATGGTAATGCAATTAGTTGCACCATCATGTTCAATCAACCGTTCTATGTCAATGAAAAGCACAGCGTGCAATAATTAACGATTAACCTAATTTTGTAATGTGAAATTACAATTAACTTATAACAATTCAGATGTGACAGGACTTTGTAAAAATGAACGATAAAAACTTCTTGTCCATAAACTTTAAAACGCGCAGTTACATTGTCGCGTAAGTTTTATCTCTCTCTCCCCAGCAATTATCCAACTTTAACAGTTATTCACTAATTAACGAACTTTGATCACTGCTCTCATTTAAATGTCTTTATTCGTCATTTAATAATATATGTAGATTTATGGCAATTTCATGCGTGAGAGAGGTTAGGGATTCTAGCAGGATTTAAATAAATTTTATACATCTCCATATTTAAAGCGATGCACGTTACATTTATCTGGTATATTATTAATTGGTCCATAACTAAATCTTTTACTAACACGATCAATTTCGAACAACGTGAATATATAATAATATCACGAAAGTAAGCGATGACCAATATTGTACGAACAAATAACGTTTGTTCCTTGTGACAAGCCGATACACGACATTTCGATGTAATATGCCGCCGATAATATCACGTTCGTATATTGCATTCCAATTCACTACATATCGTGTCTCTCATTAAGCGAGCTTCTAATTAGCGATTGGTCTCTATCCTGTTACATTATGCAATCTATCTGATGATTTCGATCGTCAGCACTGGCTTTATAACGCTACTGCCGAGTAATTACATTCGTTGTTTTAACGAGAACATTTTAATTATCTCCTACATGTATAATAAAAACTCGAAAAAAAATCGAATCATATTTGCGCTTTCAAGTCGCGTCAGTTGCTTACGAAAGTAGTTAAAAAGAATTGTTGTGTAAAGTTAACCTTTAAGTTTAACCTTTAGACGTAAACGCAATAGCATAAGTTACTGAACTGCATAAGTTACTGAATTAATTATGATCGTACGATTACTGAACGGAATTTCAATGGGCAATCATGAGCGATATTGTGGTGAAAACGATTATGTAAATATCTTAAATGTGGAATGGAAAATAATCTGTGCACTTCTAACTCAAACGTGACTAATAATAACTCGTACCTATTGTAGCCCGATAAAGATTAGGTAACCGTAACTAACCGTAAAACGGACGCAACGTGCGATTATAAACGTAAAGTTATCGAAGAGCATCGGCAGTTTTGAAAATTGCTGTGCATTTTCTTGGGCTTTCTTAAATCATCGTTCTTAAGTTGCGCGAGTCTTAATTCGTTCACCCTTCTTTAATCCGACGTTATCGCATTCGACGACATGCATATCACAGATTAACGTTCGTGACACACGAGCAAGCCGCGCAGTTCTGAACGACTTTTAAGTTGACTTCGAAGTTTTCTTCCGCACACAGGGGTGGACTGAAAGTTGGGCTCTGACGGAACACAAAAATAATTTTGCACGATAAGACCGAGCACGCAGGCAAGGAACTTTTTAGTAAACATCTTCACAACTAGAGTTGCCTACTGCTTTGCGAGAAAAGCCGTGATTCTTACAGCTGTTCGAACTTTAGTCTCTTCCTTGTAAGCATTCAAAGGATTTTGATTTACCATTGCATCTTAAATATTATCTTTAATACAGAAATATGGAAAATTGTTGAAATGTGCAGGAATCTTTTAAAATAGAATATACATATTATACATATAATAAGGATTTGGCTAAAAAGCAAAAATGCATGGAAAAAACAGTTTTGAACTATTTAAAAATTTAGCTGGATACAGATCTGAAAATAATTTTGTTGGGCCATCAAAATATTTATGTAACTCTCAAATTAATTGCTAAAAAAATATCAAACTTTTTGCAATTGCTCATTATGCTTGAAATTTCTATGAAATTATTTTGGTCCAACAAAATTATTTTCAGATCTGTTTCTAACCAAATTTTTAGATCTTTATCAAAATTGTTCTTTTCATGTATAAGAGAAAAATACGTTAGATGCAGTAATATAAATATATAATATAATATATAAAATATATCAAAATTTTCTTTCAGAAGTTTATTTTAGCGATTTTTTTAGAGACAAATGCTTGCAAATTTGAAAAATAATATTTTCAATTAAAGTGCTAAAAGATGTTAACTCAAATAAATTCGATAAAGTAACAAAGTTATTCTTAATTCGAGTTCTATTTAAAATTTTAATTCAGTTAGATTATAACGATATTTAATATCAAGATGTTTTGAAATATTATAGCTTAATTAACGTTTTTTCTTATAGTCTTTTTCATAAAATATACCTGCTACAGATATAAATAAAATAAAAGAACACCGCGTAAGAAATCTTCGTTTTCCTCGGCCAGCGCTAACAATGTCTCAACAGAAAGCTCTGCACTCGCGGTTAAATATTGGTACTGCTATGTGTCGGGGAGATTAAAGCTTTTACCAAGTTGCGCGAGTCTAATTGTCTCCAAGAGCCAAGTGCCAGGGCGCGATATTAAATCTTCTTGTTAGCGAAATGCGAGCGTACCGAATGTCTCCATCGGCATCATCGAAGTCTCATATTAATCGGGAAATATTTCTTGCGTGCTCTATCGTCGACGGTAATGCTCTCTTGCTGCGGCAAATGTCACCTGTCTTTCCTACAGACTACGTCTGTTACATCGAATGAAACTTGAGCGATGGGTCATCGAACGCGGCGCGGTTTGTCAACTTCGGATTCTGTCGTTCGTACAACTTACAACTGTACATGGGAAGGTGGGACGGGGGAGGGTAGGCGGCTTGTAAGTTAAGTTCAGAATCGGGACTTCGGCATTGTCGTTCTTAGCCATCGACTTCGGAATTCGATGTCGTCGGTCGGTACAAATGTTTAAACGCGGCACGTCGATCGAAACTTCATTAATGCCTAGTAGATCGATCCTGTCGTTTGACTAACGAGAGGCGATCGACCTTGCAAACTTGTACGTGAGGAGGCGTCACCTCGTTTTTGTAGAAAACTGTCTCACATCTCGGACTTTACGAGCGCTTTGGCGAAGAGCTTAACGAAACCTCAAGCGTATTAGAGCAAAGTGTAAATCTCAGAAGACATAAAAAGAAGAAATGTCAAGAAAGTAGAAATCTTCGGGGATATGAACACTGCAAATATTTTTAGAAAGAGTTTTAGAAAGTCATTTATTTGTATAAGATAAAATGTACGATGTATTGGAAAAATTGTTTAAGTAATATTTTATGATAGCTAATTAAATCATTCAGATCTTAGTAATTATTCTAGATATTTACAGTGTTCTAGAAAAAAAAATGCATATTTTAATGAAATATCAATATCTAAAAACAATATCTCAATACATAATTTTAATGTTTAAGAATATTATTTGATACATGCATATTTTTAGATAAATAAAATTTTCTGATTATAAATATTCAGACTATTTTTAAATTCAATTTTCTCTTTAATAAACTATTTTATCGATCAATTTTAGTTTTCAAAAACATTTACATTTGTTTTCAAAGCGAAGTCTTATCTTTAAATCAAATTAATTATTTGCTCAAGAATGCACTGCATTATACATACATACATGCTTACTTGCTTTCGAAGAAAACACATTTCAATATAAAAATTATATTTGTAATTCAAAAAATTAAAGAGTAATCTTTAATTAAAGTTAATCTCTTTAAGTTTAAACTACAAATGTAATTTTTATATTCAATGTATTTTCTTTCAGCAAAAACAAGTAAGCATTAATGCAGTGCATTCTTAAGAGCAGGAGTAAATATTAGATAAAACTCCGCTTTGAAAATAAATGGAATTATTTTTGAAAGCTGAAATTCAATAATATAATTTATTAAATGATCAATTAAAAT